TTACTTATGGATTACAACCCAAATCATCCGCTAGGCGGAGGTGGGAGTCTCCGGCGAAGCATAAGCCGAAGCGTTAGCAGAGCCAGCAGAAACCTCGAAGACATTTTCTCCCCCGGCTCCAGACGAACTCAGTCCGTCAACGACGACGAAGAGGCTCTTAAATGGGCTGCCATCGAGAAACTCCCCACCTACAGTCGCCTCCGCACCACTCTCATGAACGCCGTGGTCGAGGACGACGTCTACGGCAATCAGCTCCTCAGCAAGGAGGTCGACGTCACCAAGCTCGACGGCGAGGAACGCCAGAAGTTCATCGACATGGTCTTCAAGGTGGCCGAGCAAGACAACGAGCGAATCTTGACAAAGCTCAGGAACAGAATCGACAGGGTCGGGATCAAGCTTCCAACAGTAGAGGTGAGGTACGAGCACTTGAGCATCAAAGCCGACTGCTACGCCGGTAACAGATCTCTTCCAACGCTTCTTAATGTGGTGAGGAACATGGGAGAATCTGCTCTCGGCATGATTGGGATGCAGTTTGCCAAGAAAGCTCAGCTCACTATCCTCAAAGACATTTCTGGGATCATCAAGCCCTCGAGGATGACCCTCTTGTTGGGTCCCCCTTCCTCCGGGAAGACCACCCTTCTTTTGGCTCTTGCCGGCAAACTCGACGAGTCCCTCCAAGTCTCTGGTGATATAACCTACAACGGTTACCGCCTCAATGAGTTTGTTCCAAGAAAGACCTCTGCTTACATTAGCCAGAACGATCTCCACGTCGGTATCATGACCGTTAAGGAGACTCTTGATTTCTCCGCTAGGTGCCAGGGTGTTGGTTCCCGTTACGGTATGTATAACAACAATCTTGATCAACCAAAGATCCATTTTTTTTGTTTGCATATATGTCTGGTTGTTGACTGAATTTCTTCTCGTGCAGATCTGTTGAATGAGCTCGCAAGGAGGGAAAAGGACGCTGGGATATTCCCCGAAGCCGATGTTGATCTGTTCATGAAAGCCTCTGCTGCTCAAGGGGTTAAGAGCAGTCTCATCACTGATTACACTCTCAAAGTGAGCCCCTCCACTCTTCTTCTTACTACACCTTGTGAATCTGTTCTGCTCTGCTTCTTGTTTCAACTATGAATCCTGGGAGAGTTAGCTATATTGTGGTCACCAATATATGAATCTTTGTATATAGTAAGTATAAATAAACTGACTCTGGGCGTGGAACAGATACTGGGGCTTGACATTTGCAAGGACACCATAGTTGGAGATGATATGATGAGAGGTATCTCCGGAGGTCAGAAGAAACGTGTCACAACTGGTGAGATGATTGTTGGGCCTACCAAGACGCTCTTCATGGACGAGATATCCACCGGTCTTGACAGCTCCACCACTTTCCAGATCGTCAAGTGCTTGCAGCAGATCGTTCACCTCACAGACGCCACTGTGCTCATGTCTCTCCTCCAGCCTGCTCCTGAGACCTTTGATTTATTCGATGATATCATTTTGTTGTCCGAGGGTCAGATCGTGTACCAAGGACCCAGGGACAACATTCTTGAGTTCTTCGAGAGCTTTGGCTTCAAGTGTCCTGAGAGAAAAGGAACGGCTGATTTCTTGCAAGAGGTAGCCTAGCCCCCTTCTTTTAATCTTTGTCTTGTCTTTGTATTTTGTTCCAAACACATCTCTCAAACCAACATTGCTTTGTTGCACAGGTCACCTCCAAAAAAGATCAGGAACAATACTGGGTGGACCAGAACAGACCCTATCGCTACATTCCAGTCTCAGAGTTTGCCAGCAAATATAAGGGCTTCCACGTCGGGAAGCAGCTTTCTAACGAACTCTCAGTACCGTTCGACAAGTCTCGTGGCCACAAAGCAGCTCTTGTGTTTGACAAGTACTCGGTTTCAAAGAGGGAGCTTCTCAAGAGCTGCTGGGACAAAGAGTGGCTGCTTATGCAGCGAAACTCCTTTTTCTACGTCTTCAAAACCATGCAGATCATCATCATCGCTGCAATCACGTCTACAGTCTTTCTCAGAACTGAAATGCACACAAGAAACGAGGCTGATGCCAACCTCTACATAGGAGCATTACTATTTGCAATGATTGTCAACATGTTTAATGGTTTTGCGGAGATGGCTATGATGGTCTCGAGACTTCCGGTGTTCTACAAACAGAGGGATCTCCTGTTCTATCCATCCTGGACCTTCACCCTTCCCACCTTCTTGCTCGGGATTCCAATCTCAATCTTCGAATCGACAGCATGGATGGTGGTGACCTACTATACCATCGGTTTTGCACCTGAGGCGGATCGCTTCTTTAAGCAGTTTCTCCTTGTGTTTCTGATACAGCAAATGGCTTCTGCCATCTTTAGATTGATAGCTTCCGTATGCAGAACCATGATGATAGCTAATACTGGTGGTGCTCTCACTCTGCTTCTCGTCTTCTTGCTTGGAGGCTTCCTTCTTCCACGAGGTGAGATTCCTGTGTGGTGGAGGTGGGCCTACTGGTTATCTCCTATGAGCTACGCTTTCAACGGTCTAGCCGTCAATGAAATGTTTGCTCCTAGATGGATGAACAAACAAGTGAGTGCTTACTCCTCTATTCTGTATTTACAAACATATATCAAAGTAAAGCTTCCTAGTCTCACTTTTGAAAATCGCAGTCTTCCGTCAACGGAACAAAGCTCGGAACCATGGTGCTTAACAATTTGGATGTCTACAATAACAAAAACTGGTACTGGATTGCAGTTGGAGCCTTGCTTGGTTTCACAGTGGTCTTCAACCTTCTCTTCACTTTTGCACTAACCTTTCTCAACCGTAAGTTATTCTTGTGCGTTTATATTTGCATAACCGGTTCTTTGAGAGCTTTAAAAACAAAAGACTAATGTACCTTGTGATTACAGCTCTTGGGAAGAAGGCAGGTTTACTTCCAGAAGAAGAAGATGAAGACTCGGATCAGAGAGCAGATCCAATGCGTAGATCTCTGTCTACTGCAGATGGGAACAAAAGTAAATATTTCTTCATCTGCTTTCTATGTTCCTTTATTCTACGCTCTGTCTTATTCTGCTGCTGCTATCAGGAGAGGTCGCCATGGGGAGAATGGGTAGGAATGCAGACTCTGCGGCCGAAGCATCGAGCGGCGCAGGCACTAAGAGAGGAATGGTCCTTCCTTTCACTCCTTTGGCAATGTCCTTTGACGACGTCAGATACTTTGTCGACATGCCTGCGGTAACCATCCTTTTCCCTTTGGAAACACTTGAATCTCCTCCACTAAAAATACAATGTGATTAATATATGTGTTTGATGGTACAGGAAATGAGGGACCAAGGAGTTACAGAAAACAGGCTGCAACTGCTCAAAGGTGTGACTGGTGCATTTAGGCCAGGAGTGTTGACTGCGCTAATGGGGGTGAGTGGTGCCGGGAAGACAACACTGATGGACGTTTTGGCCGGAAGGAAAACAGGCGGATACATCGAAGGAGAAGTGAGAATATCAGGATTCCCAAAGGTTCAAGAGACGTTTGCTAGAATATCAGGGTACTGTGAGCAGACTGATATCCACTCCCCACAAGTCACCGTCAGAGAGTCTCTGATTTTCTCTGCTTTCCTTCGCCTTCCCAAAGAAGTGAGCAAAGATGAAAAGATGATGTTTGTGGACCAAGTGATGGAACTGGTAGAGCTGGACAGCCTGAGGGACGCCATCGTGGGTTTGCCAGGTGTCACAGGGCTTTCCACGGAGCAGAGAAAGAGGTTGACAATCGCAGTGGAGCTTGTGGCCAACCCTTCCATCATCTTCATGGACGAGCCGACTTCGGGGCTGGACGCAAGAGCAGCAGCTATTGTGATGAGGGCAGTTAGGAACACAGTGGACACGGGAAGAACCGTGGTCTGCACCATCCACCAGCCGAGCATTGATATCTTTGAAGCATTTGATGAGTTGATGCTCATGAAGAGAGGAGGACAGGTGATCTACGCGGGTCCCTTGGGTCGAAACTCTCACAAGGTGGTGGAGTACTTCGAATCCTTCCCGGGAGTGCCCAAGATTCCAGACAAGTATAACCCAGCCACTTGGATGCTTGAAGCCAGCTCACTAGCCGCTGAGTTAAAGCTCGGAGTTGACTTTGCTGAGTTGTACAAGTCATCCGCATTACACCAGTAAGTACCACCTTGATTATCTGATTCATTTTGATTGCTCAACTCCCTAATAAAAATGATGATGCAGGCGAAATAAAGCTTTGGTGAAAGAGCTGAGTGTACCTCCGGCAGGGGCTTCGGATCTCTACTTTGCTACGCAATACTCGCAAGATACATGGGGACAGTTCAAATCATGCCTATGGAAGCAGTGGTGGACGTACTGGAGATCCCCTGACTACAACCTTGTCCGCTTCATCTTCACACTTGCAACATCTCTTCTCATTGGAACCGTCTTCTGGCAAATAGGAGGTGACAGCTCGAACGCAGGGGATTTGACGATGGTGATAGGAGCTCTGTATGCGGCCATTATTTTTGTTGGAATAAACAACTGTTCGACGGTACAGCCGATGGTGGCGGTGGAGAGGACTGTGTTCTACAGGGAGAAAGCTGCGGGAATGTACTCAGCCATGCCATACGCAATCTCCCAGGTGACATGTGAGCTTCCCTACGTCCTGATTCAGACCACTTATTACTCCCTCATCGTCTATGCCATGATTGGGTTCGAGTGGAAAGCCGCCAAGTTCTTCTGGTTCCTCTTTGTCAGCTACTTCACCTTCCTCTACTGGACCTATTACGGCATGATGACTGTCTCCCTCACACCGAACCAGCAAGTCGCATCTATTTTCGCCTCTGCCTTTTATGGCATTTTCAACCTCTTCTCTGGCTTCTTCATCCCCAGGCCCAAAATCCCCAAGTGGTGGATCTGGTACTACTGGATCTGCCCTGTCGCCTGGACCGTCTATGGATTGATTGTGTCACAGTACGGTGACGTGGAGACTCCTATCGACGTCCTCGGAGGTCCTGCCAACCTCACGGTCAAGCAATACATTGAGGACCATTATGGGTTCAAGTCTGACTTTATGGGACCAGTGGCTGCCGTGCTCATCGGCTTCACCGTCTTCTTCGCCTTCATCTTCGCATTCTGCATCAGAACTCTCAACTTCCAGACCAGATAAAAACATCAAGTCTATTTCCTTCTTTCTTTCTATATCCTTGTCATATAAGCTCTCTGTCCTACTCTGTAATCTAGTGTCACAAGGGATTTTTTTGTATAATTTCACCTATAGTCGTGTAGATGATGACGAAGCAGATGTAATATAATCCCACCGCCTTTATTTGGTTTGTTGAATTGAAAACGCAACTTATGACACTAGATTACAGAGTGTTCAAGGAAGGTTGATCCGAACCCATCAAATCCCCTTTTGAGCATGTGTGCTTTACTGATATTTCCAACGAGAGGAAGAAGCCAAAAAAATGATCATGAATTCAGGCTTAAATTGCAAGCTAGTACACATGGTCATCCACCACTAGCCACCTGGTAAGGGGAAAGTCAAGCAGAATCAGATGCACGACCAGTACTGTTCCATTTTGAGAAAATTGAAAACCATTAGCGTTTCATTATGAGCCTAAGCAAATTTAGGAAGCATGGTTGTTAACGATCAATTCAACACTCTGTATTAAAAAAATAGAATTCTACAAGTAAATACATTGCGGTCACATCACATGGAACAGCAAAATACACTAACGCTTTTGTAGCATAAAACAGAAGACAAACGATGATAGGAAAGAAAACTAGAAACAAGGATGAAGGCCCTCGGACGCGATTGTATCAGCTCAGCTGGATACATGGTCTGTAAAAACACAAATAGAGAGGTTGCATATCCCTATTATCTTCTTGAACAACTAGCTAAAACATATGCTACGATAAGACAGACATAGCTATCCAACTAAAATCCCCTTACGAGTGAATAGCAAAGAGAGTCCATTTTGGAAATTCAGTACATTTTCAAACACTAAAGAATGAACCTTGGTGATTAAGCCTCCTCTGCTGTAACACCAAATCTCCAGAGCTGTCCCTCCTGTCGAACATATACCAAAATCGAAGAGGAAGAGAAGGAAAGCGAGAATCCATAATAGACTCCTTACGACTACCTACCAATAACAACGACCTCAAAGAAAACAGACCAATCTCCACCTCACACACGTCGTCTCCATCGGAATCGAATCTCTCACTAAACACATCACACGAATCCGACGCGCCTTTCGAGCGTTACATTTCAATCGCGTTGTGGCACCAAGGGACGACGAAAACGGAACAAGAGCTAAACGAGAGAGAGAACAATGGTAAGACTAAGACAGACAATGGGCTAGTACAAAAATGGGCCGAAAGATATGTGTGAGCCCAGCTGACGTGAAAGATGGGCTTCGTGTTACACAACAAAAGTACAAGTTGGAGGGATGAGACTTTTCTCTCCCCATTAGAAAAAAAAAAGTAATGTCAAGTAGAGGGGAACAAGTGGTAAATTCCAAACCAACTACGTCTACTACATTGATGGTAGTTGCAATTCCGCGTCAAACACATTTTGGCCGTATCTAATCCCTTTTGCTATTTTGGTCACAATTCCAATTGAAAAAGAGAGAGGTCACACTCAAGAAAAAGTGCTTATTTTGGTTTTTGTGGGTTAAAATTACAAATAGCTCACCAATACAGGGGGGGCCAATGGGAATTGGCGAGAGAACAAGGAGTGGAGACTCAATTTGCAAGAGATGGTAGAATAGAAAGACACGTCAAACACTTTCCATGGAGGTTCCTTCTGTGCCAGATTTAGTTTAGAGCTCGCCTTGTTATTGTGCTTGTGAGGGAGAAAGATAGGGATCGAGGAAGAGAGACGACGGCGACGAACGAATATTAAGAGCAAGGCGTAGA